TAACGTCTCGAAACTAGGTGAATTTTTTTTTATTGTATCCATTGATGATATAGTCATGATATAATTATACATGTGACTTACGTATGGAATTAAAGTTTCGGTTTCCATTTGAGATTGTCCATTTACACTTGCGCCAATTAAAAACAATGCAATTATGATAAACTCTATTGTTTTACAATATGCGATTTTAAAATATTTCATTTTCACAAAAAAATAATAATTATTATGAATACTTCTTCGCGATATTTTTTTTGTCAAATGCACTCAGTTTTAGAATTCTAGTTTGATTCGTACACGATTTGACAATATTATCGTATATTTTAAAATAAAATAGTACACCACATGTGCGTAGATATAACGTTACATATTGTTTTTCACATATAGGGTGACTCAAGGTAGATTATGATTGTCATAATAATAAATAATATATTTTAATATTTAGATAATTTGTAATTTATTTATTTATTTAATCATTATAAATATAAGATAATTTTACTGTTTAAGACTGATTCTAATCAAATTTATTTATAAAATTTTAATATCAATTCATAGTGTGGTTCGACAAAATTGATTATAGTTTAATAAAAATAATAAGATCTCGAGTTTAATACTGAAAATTAATTGAAATTATTGATGAACTGGCTATAACACTTTTCAGGTTATAACTCGGATTCTTTTTTATTAATTTTATTTTTATTTTACATTTTATACCCTGTACATATACAATGAATATCATATAATAAATTATAGGTACTGACCTGATATTATATTTTGTATTTTCGAAATAGTGACATGTATTCAATTTGTTTAGTTTACACAAGTATAACATAAATCAAAAAAGTCATGACGCGTTGGCACATTTTCTTTAAATTATGTATATATGACGAGGGCTACAATACAATTACAACGGAAACAGCTATTTCGGTAAATAAAACTGAAAATATTATGTGATAAATATATCATTTATATATTTTAAGCAGGAGCGTGCTCACGGTGGTGATGAAGGTGGCATATTCTTCCTCATAAACTGTTTGTGTGTGAATTTCGCTACTAAAATTAGTTTGCTTGGAAAACTCGTCATTTTCTGTCAAGAAAAATACTCTAAAAGTTTTACTTGGCGCGTTACATTATGACATAGAATTTCAGCTCAGCGCTGCGGTAATTTATTTGAAATCCCTAACAGTACATCCCTGACATACGTTTTTGAAATAATGATGTATAACAACAATGTGCACTTGATTTATATAAACGGATTTCTTTTATAGTTACCATGGTTGAAAATGCGATTAAATATAATAACAAAACAGCATTTTTTACAGAGAATAATACTTTTGGAATATCTGATAAGTGTTTCTGTTTTTATCTTCACACAGCTACAAAAATTTATCGTAATCTGCTGAACAAAAGAGCGTCTTATATGATTAGATAGAAAAAAACCGAGCCACATAACAGGTAATTTTTAAATTGACTAGTATAGAAAATGTTTATCGTATANAAGTTTTTTCTATGTTTTTCCTGGTTTTCCCATGTTTTTCTAGGTTGTTTACATTTGATGGGAAAAATCGGAAAAATCGCAAAATTACTTCCTAAAGTACTTCAACCTTCCCGGTCATATTTCCTTTCGGAAAAATAGGTATCTTTGTAATTCGGAGAAAATTTGTATATGTTGGCCTTAGTTATATGGCCTTAGTATGATGTACTCATTTATATGTATGCATACATGCATACAAATACGTGAAATTACTATATAATTGGATTTTAATTATTATTATACTTTAAACGACTTGAGTAGACTGTTTAGCTGTGCGTTGCTTTCTAAAAGTGATGTAATCAATCGACGACGGATCACTATGACCGCTAGCGAAAACGTAAGGGGACGTAGACTACATTTTATCTCTTCGGTTAATTTTAATGGAGTTCAAGGCATGTAATGTAAATTAATTAGTATAATAGTAATAATGCGTATAATTATTTTCGTCTGTTGTATAGACGACATGGAACGGTGCGTTGTTACACAAAAGAAAACAAAAAAAGACCTGATACTGCTGACTGTTATGTCTGGCATATTTGAAAAGGGAGAGTAATGCAATAATCATCCCCCCTCTCACACATGGATATTTTAAATTGTTTCCCAGTGGAAGTAAACCATCATCTACTAGCCATACGTTCACATTACTATAATAATTTGGTATTTTTTTCGTTATATTTAATAACTGTGTCAATATTTTGATCACCGACTGATAGTCTTATCAGAAAACTGGTACAGATCTAACTATACCGTAATATAACTAGCAGATTTCATATTAAGTATATTATATAGGTACACAGTATACATATTTCTCCAGAAGTAGATAGGTATAATGAAAAAATCTAAAAAACAAATCACATATTTATTATTTAAATACTTATTTATTTATTTAAAATTCAAAAAACAATTGTTTGGCTTAATAAATATTTAAAATTAAAGAAATCATTTTCTTTTTCTATTACATTATTAACATAGACGATTTTCTTGTTGCTTGATACCCGCTTTTATTGAATCTGGTCGTCATATCAAGAATATTACCATACGTAGTAGAAAGAAACAAAATATAGTACATTTAGATAATAGTATTATACATTAGATTTAATAACAAAATTTCAAATTTAATTTTAAAAACATACGTTTATAAAACCACCACTAGTTAATCCAATTTATTATATTTTTATAAATTATTAAAATTAATGATAATTTAAAATTACGATATTCATGTTAAATCAACGTCTTTTCCGTATAAGAAATAAGGTGTTAGGGCCTGAAGAATCACCTAATAACACCAATGCCTACAGAAGAGGACGGCGTTTCAACATTAATATCGGGTGGTCAATGGTGGATCCTCTAAAGGTTATATCAGCTATATCAAACCTAGGACTGTTAAAAATATAACAAAGAATTATTTTTTTTTCAATCCTTTCGACCCGAAAAATTGTTTGCCATCCACCACTGAGTGTGGCCATTGATATTTAACGGATTCAATTAGTATATTGTGCATATGTATATTTTCGGTCATCGATTTGAAATCAGATATATAATTTTTGACATTTATTTTTAACTGGTCTAGGTAGTTCCAGAAACTTTCCGATACGTACATCACAGTAAACACATTTACATCAACCGTTCTAAAAGGGGGGTAATAAGGGACATAATCTAACAAATTCTGATTAATAGCAATGTTTTGTATAACAAAAACACATGATTTTAACGGACGTGTCATTATATTATGTTCCTTTTTTATTGTACTGTTAATTGATATCCAAAAATTGTAATTATTAATCAAGGTTTTCAGCAATTCGTTTAAAAGTTTGCGTTCGACTGGCGTGCCTGTTTTTAAAGTGATATTAATTAATTCTGTTATCAGAATATCCATACCACCGCAATATTTTGCGAATATATTTTTGATCGGTACATTAATATGTCCATCTTCTGGGTGTAAATCAGACGTTCTTATTTCAATGCATTGTTTTATGAACGTCATGGTTAACCTGGCAACGGACATTACTACTAAATT